TGGTAGTATATGTTCAAGAACCAATGGTATTAAACAAAAGTTTCCAAGATGCACTAGAGCCTTAATCAAACAGCAAGACTCCAGGAATTGATGGAAAAACCAATTAAAATGTTTTAGAAAACTGATGCATATGCTGAAAGCACTCACTAGTCTATACCAAGATATGTTTGGCCATACCAAAGAAAAGTGTCCAATGGAATATAGGGATTATCAAACAATATCATTATTATCACACACAAGTAAACTTTGGCCAAAAATAATTTAAAAAATGGTTGCAGCAGTACATTGACAGGGGCCTAGCAGAAAATTAATCTGCACTTAGAAGAGGATGTCAAATGGGGGATATCATTGCTGAAGTCAGATGGACCTGAACTGACAGCAGAGAATACCAGAAAGATGTCTACTTGTGCTTTATTGACCATGCAAAAGCATCCAATTGTGTGAATCTTAAACTATGAATTACATTAAGAAGAATGGGAATTGTAGAACATTTAATTGTGCTCATACAAACCTGTGATAGTAGTAGTGGCTATCTGCCATGGAGTCGGTTCTGACTCATAGCAACCCTGTACAGGGCTTCCAAGGCAGTAAGTCTTTACAGGATCAGAAAGTCTCATCTTTGTCCCATGGAACGGCTGGGAGTTTGAACTACTGACCTTGAGGTTAGCAGCCTGGCTTGTATCCAAGCCTGTCCATAGACCAAAAAGCAGTAATTCAGACAAAAGAAGGGGATTATGAGTACTTTAAAATCAGGAAAGGTGTGCATCAGGGTAGTATCCATTCAACATAATAATTCAATATGTGGGTTAAGCAAATAGTCCATGTATATGGACTCTATGAAGAAGAATGTGACATCAGAATTGGAGGAAGACTCATTAGCAGCCTTTCATATGCAGATGACTCAGCAATGCTTGCTGAAAATATGAGAACTTGAGGCACTTGCTGATGAAGATCAAACAATATAGCTTTCAATATGGATTGCATATAACTCAACGTAAAGAAGAAAAATCCTCACAACTGGATCAGTATATAACATCGTGATGGTGGTGGTGGTGGTATTATGCTATGGAGGCTATTCCAACTCAGAGCCACCCTGTATAGGGTTTCTGAGGTTGTAAATCTTTATAGGAACAGAAATCCTCATCATTCTCCAGTGTAGCAACTGGTAGCTTTGAAATGCTGACCTTGAGGTTAGCAGCCCAACTCATATCCCATTACATTACCAGAGCTCCTTAGCATTATCAGAGAAAAAATTGAAGTTGTCAAGGATTTCCTTTTACTTTGTTCTACAATCAATGCTTATTAATGTTTCAGTCAAGAAATCAAAGAACTCATTGCACTGGACAAATTTTCTGCAAAGACCTCTTTAAAATGTTAAAAACCAAAGATATCACTTTGAAGACTAAGATACATGTGGCCCAAGCCAGTGGGGGGAAAATATTCAAAGTACCATGCACTGCCAGAAACAAAACCAGATCTCTCTTGAAAGAAAGATAGCCAGAATACTCCTCAGAATGGTAAGACTTCATTTCAGATACTTTATCATGAGGGACAAGTTGCTCTTTGGTAAAGTGGAGAATCAGCGTAAAAGTGAGGTGGATCAACACAGTGAACTCAAACATATCAACAATTTCGAGTAGGGCACAGAACTAGACTGTGTTCTATTCTGTTAGGGTCTACATAGGGTCTCTATCAGTCAGAATTGACTCAACAGCACCTACAATCAATAAAGCAAACACTTTAAGTGTCCAAATGTTAGCCTCCTGAACTGTTTTTCTTCTGCCATAAGAGGGTCCTATCCATAATAAGCTTATTATTTCAGTCAGGATCCTGGAATAAGAAGACTAAAGTAGAATGTAGAATCCCACCAATAGCTCCCAAGAAGTAATATGAGTGATAAATAAATGTTTGTTGTTTGAACTCAGTGAGATTTGTGGGGTGAGGCCAGTGAAGCTATTACTGCCAGATAGCTAATATGTAATCTGTATGGTAATGATGCTGTAGTTTCAATCTGTAGTCTTCTCTTTCCTTGTGCTCCAAACCTACATATTCAAATTCACACTCAACATCTCTTACTGGATGCCTAACAGACATCTCAAATACAACATTCAAAATCAAATTCTTGCACCCACCACAACAGCTCCCTACTTCTACCCCTTCCTTTGACTTTTGCGGGCTAGAAAAATAGACTCATTCATGATTCTTCTTTTTTTCATTGCTTCTGCATTCTAATCATTCAGAAAATCCTTTTAGCTATACTTTGAAAATATATACATAATCTCACTATTTCTAACTATTAGCAATACCACTGTACTAGTCTATGTCTCCATCAATTCTCTGGATTTAAGAGACCCTTCTTGTTTCTACTGTGATCTCTCTATAGCCTTTTTTTCACAGAGCAGTCAAAGCATAGTCATCGTTTGAAATTAAGTCAGAATATGTCCTCCCTCTGCTTATTATTCTTGAAGGTGTATCCCCATCTCAAATAATTTTAGATCCAAACCCTTATAATGGATTATAAGCCCCTATTTGATCCTGACTCGTATTACCCCTCTGCACTTTTTCTCTCTCTGTTGTTACTTCCATCTAGGCACATTGGCCTATTTGAAGTTTCTGGAATACCAGGCACACTGTGCCATGTGCCCTTTATACTTTGTTTTGCTTCTACTGTGAACCCTTCTCCCTTAGATAGCCACATGGCTTACAATCTTACCACCCAAAGTCTGCTTAAATTCCATTGTTTGTTCCCGAATGAGGCTTGTTTTTATGGCATTATTCCCAATACATACTGCTTTTCATCCTATAACCACCTCTCTGTTTTTTCTCCATATCACTTCCAACTTCAGTTATGTTATACAACTTAGTTGCTTTTACCTCCCTTCCCTCTATTATAATGTAAGCTGTAAAAGCCTGGAATCCTTATACAGTGCTGTAAGGACAGCACTGGAAGGCAAACTTCATTGTCCATAGTTCAAATGCACTAACCTCTCCTTGAAAATCCTGTACAGGGTCTCTATGAGTTGGGACCAACTTGATGTCACTTAACAATAATAGGAGTGCTGGGATTTTTTTGTCTGTTTTAACATTTGCTACATCTACATTAAGTTGAAATCTTTTTGTGATACTTCATTTTATGCTCTTTTAAACTCCAAAGACCCTGTGTGTATCTCCTAAATGATCAAAGTGTTTCCTAACACTTTATTATAACCATGGTCTGAGAATGAATTTCAATTAAAAGCAACATCTAAATCAGCATATTCTGATACATTGAATAGAGCATTTCTGAAAACTCTTGATTTTCATTCATGTAAATATTAAGCAAGTTACTTTGTAACCTTGGCTTTCAGACTAGCAGATGGTAGACCCTTGTGAATAGGTCCTAGGGTATCATTACAGTACAGTAATTGAATTTAAGATTCATAGTTTCCCCCCATGGACTGACTGTATCCTAAAAGTTATAATTATCTGAGTTAAAAAAAAATTTTAAGACACCTGCACTTTGGTATCCTTAGTTCCATATAGGTTTCTTTTCTCTGGCATACATACACATATATGCTATTTGCTTGGAACAACGTAACAGTCTTGTTCGCATCTTTAAAATATTTATATTTGGTATGCATCCAATGAAGGGTCCCTTGTGGTACAGTGATTAAGTATTCAGCTACTAACTGAAAGGTTAGTGATTCAAACCCATCAGCTGCTCCACAGGAGAAAGATGTGGCAGTCAGCTTCTGTAAGGATTTAAAATCTCTGAGCTAGAATTGACTCAATAGCTGTGAGTGTGGATGTGCAGCCAGTAGAAAGGCATAAATGGAGAGATGAAATTAAGAAGCTGACTCAATAATGTGGTCGGCTAGTGCTATTTTACTGTTACCAGTGACAAGAAGCTCTGGTAGCATAGTGGATATGAATCGGGCTGCTAACCTCAAGGTTGGCAGTTTGAAACTACCAGCTGTTCCTCTGATGCTTTCTACTCCCATAAAGATTTGCAGCCTTGGAAACCCTGTGCAGAGTCACTGTGAGTTGGAACTGACTCCATGGTACTTAACAACAAGAGTGACAGATTATATGCTTTGGTACATAGATTAAGGCAAGAAAAAATAGTTTATAGCACTTAAATTTAAAATAGTTTTTGTATGAAAATTAAGAAAAACCTGGATATGTAGGATAGGATTCTTGGAGATTCTACCTTGTCACTAAAGGATCTAAATTAAGGGTGTCGTTCCCTATCATTACTGAGTTCCTCTTGAGTGTAGCTAAATCATGCTCCATCTCCAGTTCTGGAAATAAAATGGCTATCAGTCAAAGGTCTCCAGAGAAACAGAATTTTGATTAAAGGAATTGACTCATTGGACTGTTGAGCCTGGCAATTCTGAAATCCATAGACCAGGCAGCAGCCTAGAAACTGAGATAGAATTACTATTTTATAATCTTGAGGCAGAATTCCTTCTTCTCTGGACACTTCAGTTTTTGCTTTTAGTGTCATAAAACTGATTGGATGAGACTTTGTCCATCTCCTTTAGTTAAAATAAATTAGTTGTAAATATTCATCACATTTATTAAAATACTTTCACAGCAAAATCTAGACTTATGTTTGACCAAATCTTGGACACTATAAAGCCCAAAAGAAAGCAGATACATTTTCTTTAAGTCAATTTAGAATCAGAGAGACCCTGTAGGAGAGAAGAGAAAACTGCTCCAATGCATATCCAAAGCTTTCATCTTTACTGAAGCAGACAGTCACGCCTTTTTCTTATGGAGTGGTTGGTAGATCTGAACCACTGACCTTTCAGTTAGCAGCCAAGCATTTAGTCACTGCTCTACCAAGACCTTTTGGAGTACCAGAAACTAGCCATATTGACACATAAAATTACCCATCATGGTGATTGAAAATGCAAGAGCAATCTCAGAAAATTTAAGGAGGCAGAAATTTAAGAAGAATTATTAATTCCTCTTTTCTGTGTCTAACCCAGTCACTTAGTCTCCACTTCTGTACATACCCGTAGCCACTACATTCAACTCTTTATCATTTTCTGCTGAGTTTACTTTAGCCATTCACTCTTGGCTTTTATGTCTTTCCCTCTTCTCCACATCATGTATAGAGTATCTTCTTGTAGTGAAGACAGTATCTGACTACTCTCCAGCTTGAAATCATTTAGTGGCTTCTTGTGGCCACCAAGAATCTAGACCAAATAAAACGATAATGGATTTTTTTCCATGAGGTTTTTGAAGCTCTCCTAATAAAACAGAGAACACATGTTTCCAATCTATCTATTGCCTGTCTGTTATTTATCAGTCTCTTTGTGGACTAGGGAGGCCAGGAAGTAAGCTTTGTTATGCACCTAGGGCACACACACACAAAAAAATTCTTGATATACAAAAATATACATTTAGATAAATATTCCACAATTTAAGTAAATATTCTACTATGTTTTCTAAAGTTGCCAAATATTGGCATCTTGCTCTTTAATGGAGACTTCGAAGTAATTTTAATTATTTGTTCAACCTATTATATAAATTTCTCTTCCAGCATCAGTCCTCTGTAAATACGTCAAATGACAGGGACCTCATTACCTCCCAAGGTAGCCCATTTCCTTATGGGATAACTTTAATATTTATAATCTTCTTCATGTTGAGCCAAAATCTACCTCTAAAGTCTTCTCTTAATTTGTCATACTGTTGCCCCAATGAACCCAATGTACTGCTCTTGCAGTCATCATAAATAGTGGAAGATTTTGATGCTTTATGTATCTTGCTGCTGTAAGAGATTTTAATTTATGTGTGGGGGAAATCACATTATTTAAACTCCCTATAATACATCTATACATAATGCAGGGGGTTGCTCATTGCAGTATGACCCAATTAGACAAAAGCACTTAAACAACATATTTATCACTGAACACTGAAAAATTATACTAATAAAAGTAGTACACAGTAATGAGCAGTATACTGCAGGGAAAAGTAAAAGCTGGGCATTATGCTGTGTATGATGAAAGATGTAAATCCATTCTAAAGGCAGTGATCATTTTGCAATTTCATTAGAACACAAAACAAAATAGAGATAATTATTTTAACAATGTATGACTATACTACTAAAATTTGGCTCCAGATACACTACTTTGTTTTAAATAATCTTATATACTTTTATAAGATACTGTTGTTGTTGATGTTAAGTGTTCTCCAGTCAACTAGAAGTCATGGCAAATTTATATACAACAGAATGAAACACCACTCGGTCCTGCACCATCTTCACAATTGTTGTTAAGATTGAGCCCATTGCTGCTGACACTGTACCAATCCATCTCCTTGGAGATCTTCTCATTTATACTGACCCTCCATTCTACTAAACATGATGTCTTTCCACAAGGACTGGTCACTTAGGATAATAGATCTGAAATATGAGAGATGAAGTCTCACCATCCTGGCTTCAAAGGGGTATTCTGGCTATACTTATTCCAACACAGGTTTATTTGTTCTTCTCCAGCACTATAACTCAAATACATCATTTCTTCTACAGTCTTCCTTATTCATTGTCCAACTTTCACTTGCATATGAACCTACTAAAAATACCATGATTAGAGTCAGGTGAACCTTAAATTTGTCTTCCAACATCAGTCCTTCCAAAGTAGCCCATTTCCTTATAACCCATTAACTCAAAATGATATATTTGCTTCTGAAAACTAAAGACGCTTTTGTGCAGCAGATTTGCCTAATATAATATCATTTTATTTTATTTTTTTATGTTTTATTTTGAATAATGTGATAGTTTACATGGGAGAACATAAGCTTTACATTGATTTTATCGTATATCATTTCACTGTCATGGTTACAATCCCCATCATGCATCATCAACCAACAAAAGGGTATACACTGAAGCCTGTCCTCCCCCCTCCCCCCCCTGGTTGTCAGCACACACCCTCTCTCCCTCTCTGGTTCTAGAGTCCCCAGCTACTCCATCTCTGCACGTCATCATCTTTGCCTTCATCACTGGTGTCACTGCTTCTCTGGGTAGGATCCCGCACTCCGCTCTTCTCCCTTGATGGTCCCAGGGACCTCCACTCCTGGCCTGTAAAGTCAATCACTCACCTCCTTTTGCTACACAATGTCCATGTTTACATTTCCAACCCTCCCAGTCAGTCCTGATAACAATTATTCACCATTGTACCACAAGAGACCTATCCCCATCTCCTTTCATCAGCCCTGCCCAGACAGATTGGATACTACTCAGTGGAGATTCTACCTTCGTCCATGCCCTAGCTTGTAAGTCAGTCACTTCTTACCTTTGTAGCCCCTCCCCCCCTTTTTTGGATAGCCAATGTCCAAGTTGCTCATCCCTGTCTACCCTGCGTAGCTAGCGAGTGGGAATGATCCTCGCTGTAAAAATGTGTTCCCTCTTTTGAACTACTGCATCTGTAGAAATAGGTCAACTTCATCAAATTACATCATATTTCTCTTGTTTTCCTCTTCTTTCTGCTGCTAGTTGAGCTCTGCTTATCCAGCCATTGAAGTCAGGTCAAGAGGGTATTATCTGCAAGTGTGGGTGTTCTTATTCATATGCCCTCTCTTCTTAACAGCTGGACACTTCACTCTCCACTCTAGTCCTCTGTGGCTATGTTACTGACTCTGGGTCCATGAGTGCCAAGGTCTTGCCATACTGCTGGCCAACCGGGTCTCCACCAGGGTTCACATGAGTCTGTTTAATGTTGTAAGGTTTAGCTCGCAGCTTCATTGCTGTTTTTCCCTCACTTCCCCTTATTGGTGACTCACGTGGTCTCCAATCTGAGCCCATGTCTGCTCGTTTATTCCCATTGAGTCTTGGTATTGGCAGGGGGTTTACACTGAGGTGACCCAACCACTTGCCTTGAGGTCTCCTGGGTGAGGAACTTGCTTGTTCTTGTAGTAATCTGTCAGACTGCCATTATTGTTTTGTATTTTTCCTGTTGGTCTTTCTTTCAAGAAGTATCTTCTGTTCTTCTAGCCACTCCAGATTGGTCTGCTTGTCCCTTCAAGTGGGAATTTCTCACCTCAGAAGATTCTGGATGGGGTTCAGGCTTCCACCTATAGTCTTATGTAATGCAGAGGCTCCACAGAAACCCTCCTTTGTTGAGCATGCTGTATCCTCATTTTAGGTATTCCAATCATTTATAGGCAGAATACAGATTTACAAGCTTTCTATGGCGATATTTCTGGCTATTCCTTTCTCTCCACCTCTAGTGTCTATTTTATAATGGTATGCAAGGGAAACCAAGATTCAAAAGACAGCCAAGCATTTTAACATTATTTCCCCCTTTTAGCCCATTCCAACCATGTCACAATCCCTGTATCCCAGAGCCCTGTTGTTCCATGGTTGTGCATGTGTCATTATTTACCTCCGTCCCAGTAAGCCCATGCAAACCTGTCTAATTATTTTCCCATCAGACTTGTTCTGCCATTCCTCTTCCCCTTCTTGTGTATTGTCCCCATTCCCAGCACCCAAAGTATCCCGCGTCTATTCCCTACCCTATTTTCCACCTTCCCCTCCCTCCCCTCACCTCACCCCCTGCATCCCAGTAACTAACAAATAATGCCCCCACCCCCTGCTTTAGTATGGGTTCTTTTTCTTAGTCTTTTACAGTAGTGGTCCCATGCAGTATTTCTCCTTTTGTGACTGACTGATTTCACTCAACATAATGTCCTCAAGGTTCATCCATGTTATGTGGTGGCTTGCATCTTCTTTGTTGTTCTTCAAGGTAGCATAGTATTCCATTGTGTGTATGTACCACAGTTTGTTTATCCATTCTTCAATTGATGGGCACTTCAATTGATTGTCTCCATCTTTTTGCTATTGTAAATAATGCTGCTATGAACATTGGTGTGCATATATCTACTTGTTTTATTGCTCGTATTTCTTGTGGGTAAATACCAAGTAGAGGAATTGCTGGATGATAAAGTATGTCTATTTCCAACCTTCTGAAGAAGCGCCATATTGCTTTCCACAGAGGTAGGACCATTTTGCAATCCCACCAGAAATGCAGGAGTATCCCAGTCTCTCCACATCCTCGCCAATGTTTATTGTCCTCTACTTTTTTGATATTTGCTGTTATTGCTGGTGTGAGATGATATCTCATTGTTGTTTTGATTTGTATCTCTCTAATGGCTAATGATTGTGAACATTTATTCTTATGTTTGTTGGCTTTCTGGATCTCCTCCTTGGTGAAGTGTCTATTCATGTCCTGTGCCCATTTTTTTAATTGGGTTGTGTTTTAGTTTTTGTTTTTTTGTAGAGATGTTGTAGTTTCCTATATATTTTAGAAATGAGTCCCCTTGTCTGATGTGTCATTGCAAAATATTGTTTTCCATTGCTTGATTTCTTGATTGCGGCTTCCATAAGTATGGATAGTAGATCCAAGCAAAAATGAAAAGTTTGACAATTTTTAACTTTTCTCCAATTATCATGATGTTATTTTTTGGTTCAGTGGTGAGAATTTTTGTTTTCTTTACATTGAGGTGCAACACACCTTAAAGGCTATGGACTTTGAATTCCATCAGTAAGTATTATAAAATCTCTTCATTTTCAGCAAGCAAGGTTGTATCGTCTGTATATCACAGGTTGTTAATGAGTCTTCCTCCAATCCTGATGCCACATTCTTCTTAATATAATCTGGCTTCTCGGATTACATGCTTAGCATTCAGATTGAATAAATATGGTGAAAGAATACAATCTTGTTGCACACTTTTCCTATTCTGTGTCGCCTTGTTCTGTTCAAAGGACTACCTCTTAGTCTATGCACATGTTTTTCATGTTTTATATTCACTTGTAAAGATAGTGCAAGACCAAAGTAGTGTTTCATTCTGTTGTGCATAAGGTCACTATGACTTGGAATCAACTGAAGGGCACCTAACAACAATTGAAGGAAAAAACAAACCAAATGGATGTCAAAAGAGACTCTGAATCTTGCTTCCCAGCATATAGATGCTAAAGCAAATGGAAGAAGTAAAGAAGTACAAGAGCTGAAAGAAAATTCAGCTCGAGAAGACAAAGTCAAATATTATAATGAAATGTGGAAAAGCCTGGA